ACAAATGTAATATGGGTATCAGTTTCGAGGTATTTGGGGGTGCTCATTACGAATATAGCACTTATTTCTAAATCGAAGATGGCGGACATGACTTTTCAAATTTTCCACAGACCATAATGCACGTTTGGGTGGCATTATGGTCGTAGACACTAAAATCAAAGCACAAAAAAGAAAATAAATTGCAAATATAAAACATTTATTCAGTATTTGCATAGATAATACGCTAAAACCAATAAAATTTGGTATTATAAAACAAACAAAAAATAAGAGGCTAATAAGGGCTATGATCAAATTGGATAGGTTTTAATATCAGCCAGACACGAAAGTAAAAACATTCAATATATAGTATTTAGCCCTATATTACTTAATTTAGCTTTTTAGAGATAAAAAAAAGCATGAACTGATCAACAAATAGAGCAACAGTTTACTTATTCAACTGTAAATTTATTAAAAATACTTACGATTGATTCGTGTGACGCAGCCTCTCCACACAAAATCTGGCACACACAGTAACACAGGCGACGGGAAGCGGGGGACCGCGCGTTTGGAATCATAAAGCGACTCGACTGTGTATGTGTTGTGTGCGTGTCGTTTGAGCGCGAGCGCCAACGTTAAATACGATGTATGTTACTTAGGCCTTATAAGCCGACAGGCCTTATTCCCTGCGGGTACCTTAGTTGGTAAATTGTTGTAAACACATGGAGGCTGAATCATTAAATTAGAAAGTGACCAAAGTTGGCAATTAGGTATCAATAATTAGTTTGTTCCTTACGGGTACTTTTGGAGAAATAAATTTACTGTGATTCTATGAATTACCAAACCACACAATGTCAACTAACTACACATGTGAGACGATCGATTTGATAGTCATTCAATTAATCTATTCTTTCACAGGTTTCACGTCACAAAACCATAAGGGGGGAGGGTACCCCCGAGTGCGACCAACGGTACCTTTCAACAACGAAGAAAGGCCTTACATTAACAATTTCAAGACCTCCACTTGGCATCTTAACGATTTTCAGGGTAGGTACGTTGAAGACCTGTGTCCGCCGTTCAATATTAGTTTAATATATTTATTTCAATTGCTAGGTGTTTTCCCAGAAGATTACGCGTTTACTATATAGGTCTGATACCGGCACAATAACATTAAGAGATCAAATAGTTAATATTCAAATAGTTTCTATTAAATGGTCGCAAATTAAGTGTTAAAAAAATGCATTTAATACAAGTTTATTTTTTACAAAACTCAAAGTCAAATGTTACGTTTTTTAACAGAAATCAACATTCCGATTTTGCCACCATCGCCGTACAAAGTGGATTCTCCCGACCCTGAATCGTTGTGGCCTGAAGGTCTGTTCCTTCCGCCGATTAAGCCATTAAACTTCGGGTCTAACTACGGACAGCGTTCTGATGATGAAGCAGGTACGTAGATATATCAGTTATTTCTGGAAGTCAGGTATCTAATAAAATTTATCTTTACTTTATTGACTTTTTGTTTAGTGGTATTTTTTTTGGTGCGTTATTAATTTTTTTAAATGTCTGTACAGCATTACTTTATATTGATTTCAGGATCTCAGCTCCATTACAACTATAGTTATTTTAAACTTTGCAGACGATCCTCGATACCTTGAGTGAACACTACGTTAACTTTATTTTTTAATCATTTTCTGTTATTTTTGTAAACAGCCATATTTATTTACTAATATGTATTATGCACCTCGAATTTTGTAAAAAAAATAACAAATTTCGAAAAAAAAAACAAAGGACAAATTATGTGTAAAAAAATGAAGGAATAAAAAACAAAATAAAAACAGAACAAATCCAAAAATTAAGCTGGCGTAGTTCATTGGAAGTATCGTCTTGTTGTGTTAGTTAACGGTTTAATTGCACTTGAGAGAGTTTGTTAATATTTTTTGTTATTGATTTCCGTACTTGTTATACATAAACTTAAGCAAAAACTTGTGATATTTTATTACTAAACGCAATCACAACAGCTAACGATTTTATATCACGTCAACGAAACATCACTTTAGTATTTCCAACAATACATTATATTCCCCAACGTCGAAATATTCAGTGCTCATATTCTTTGCGATTCTTACTACTATAAACTATTTTTTCAGAATTAGACCTGGATCCTTATCTAATAGAAGGTACAGAAGCTATCGCCGCAGTGAAGAGAGCTAAAGGTCACGGACATCTGTACTTCCACGAGATTCCTCACATCAACTCTTTACTAGCTAATCAAGAACTTCGACAGAAAAACAACTTGAAACCACATCGCTTAGGCAGTATACGTCAGACTTGGCCGTATAATCGACCATAGCCGATGTCAAATAAACAAATATTAAAAAATTTAAAAGTACTTTATTTATAAAAAAATATGAGTAAAAATACTCATTTGTAAAGTCATACATTCTATTTACATTTCCAATAAAATTATGCCTTATACAATTGTTTCTTATTCAGAAAACTCCAAAAATCAGTAAAAATACAGTACTTCGAACCAATACGTAAATTTTAGCTCGATTATTACAGCAAAATATTTTTTTCAGAATTGTCAAAGTAGTAACAATATGGGCAAATTCGTTTTGAGCAGTTTCTAATATCCAAAATATAACAAAATGTATACAAATTTACACTACGGACGGAGTTCAACACAATCACAGAATTATAAGTTAACTAAATAAATAAGTTAAAAAAGTTACCTATTATTCACTTACAAATAAGGTACCAATTGGCTTTTAACGTGGACCACATGATTAAAATATGTATGTATATTATTTGTTAAAGCCAAAACAAATTAATAGCTTTCATGGACACCTATGTTTAACATGAGATTCATAAAGGCACGTAAATCTAAATATTAAAGTGAGTGAGGCATGTAACATTTTACAGTAATAATTTATATTACGCTTTTGGTTAGCTTTATTTTCGTAACATTAAGTATAGGTAACCAAATTGATTTGCTGTTGCAAATCGAACTCTTACAATCAAGAAACATAACATAATTATACATATATGTATAGGTCTTGTATATGTACAGGGTGTAAATTTGAGATGGGGCAGCAAGGCCAGCTACCTTAATCGTTGCAGTTACAGGAAAATGGTTCTAGAAGACTATCCATGAATTTTGAAGATATTTTGATTGGCATTCACAGACTTTGAAAAAATGGTACAGTCAGCAAGATAAAAGGCAATTTTTACAAAACTTTTTTTTACGCCATTCGATCCGGTCTCTGGTAAGGATCAATAGACATATGGGACCAACTGAGGTAAGAGTACTTGAAATGGCAGAAATCTCTAAAATCTTTTACCACACATTTTAAATGAAAAGTTTTTGTTGACATTTTAAATGAAAAGTAGAAGAAAAATTAAAATATATACAAATGTAGCGTGTGTCCATAGTTTCTGACCACCTTAGTGGAAGACCGGCAAATAGTATGTAGGGGGTAATAGTATGTTTAGAACAAGTACCTTGTGGTTGTAATAATTTGAAAATATTCAATTATACAATAGTCACAACATAATTATTGCAATAAAAACTATGTGAATTTTGGTTTTAACGTTCTTATAGATTCAGGTGTTACTTTGTGGAAGTCCATGTTAATAAAAATGGAAGTAAATTAATTTGCTACTCCGCGAACCCAGTGACGGTTAAATCGTGCAAAATAGCTGCATGTGTGTCAAGTATTTTTTATGCAGTCAATTTTCCTAACCTCTCTCATAAAATAAATAACACAAGCGCAACTGCAGTTACAGTCACAACCACCAAAAATATACCCGACACATGTTTCGCCTCTCTATGAAGCATCCTCAAGGGTAAGGACCCTTTGAATCAAGGGATTGTCCGACACTCGGTCGAAGAATTCTCGCGGAGCGAGGGTGGGAATATTAACTGCATGAAGAAACAATAAACACGCACAGGTCGCGGAATAGCAAATTGATTGACTTTGATTTTTTTTTAACTTCTGTTAATAGCACTTAATTACTTATAAGCATTTCTTAAAAACTGATTTATCATGGATTGTGTAAACTTGAGTATACCATACGAGTATATTACTTTATTATAAGGTCCAAGCTGTAGTCTGCTAAGCTGGTTTTGTGCGAGTTAAAGACTACACGTTTCCAAAGGGTTCTGAACTTTTAGCAAAAGATTTTGTTACTAAACAGTCACAAATGTATGCTCTTCGAAATTATAGTCATAGGTAGGTACATGCTGCAACAGAGTTTAAATCATAAACCTCTCAACTGACGAACAGTTTTACTGTTCCCCTAATACTGTATTGGGAGAACAGTTTTATATTTTATACTTTCAAATGAAAGTGGAATGGCTTATTTCGCAACAGAAGTCGTCATGCTGCTGGTCGATTGTGGAACAGTAATTTCACCACTACGATATTCAATTATTTTTGTGCATTTACTCCACTAATTTGTTATAACATTCAATAAACTTAATTACAATTATTAAAGGTAAGTATGTAAAGGTTCCAGGCTGAGTGAAGAAATAGATTTCTCACAGATGGCGCTACGACAAAAAAAGTCGTCAAAAACCAAAAACAAAGATCTGCAATAAGTACATCGAAAAATTCGTAAGGTACACTGATTCGTTACGTGGCTTAGTTGGCATGGCGTCTGGCACGGTTTACTAGAAGAAGTTGGTTCAAATTCTGCCGGATCGAAGGATTTTTTTCTAAGTGTTCGATCTTTGTATTAATAAATTATGACAAACTAGTGGAGTCATTTCACAAAAAGTAATTGTTTATTATGGTGGTGAAACAATAATAATTTTTCTATTATTTCAAAATAATGTTCTTCAAGATTCAGTCAATAAAGCCATACCTAGTCATCTTTACTACATCACTAATTTACGTGTACAATAAGTTTGACATAGTTAATGTCAAACTTATTTTGTTATACAGCTGCTCGCTACATAGGGCGTTGAGCGCAAAATGTATTTTGTCTAGCACGCAACGAAAATTGAGTTTATTGTAATGAAAGTTTCAGTTTACTTTATTAAAACAGAATTAAAATTATTGAAAAAGGAGATACCTCCTCCTGATCGACTGACACTCGCACTTTGACTGACGCAAGCAAGAATCGACGCGTCCTGAGGGAGCATTCAATGAATCGTGTGTATTTAACAAGATTGGGGCACGCGTGTCCCGTCCACATCGCCGTTCTATCTAGATTTATTTCTGTGCTACAGAACTATAAACAATCAAAAAGATACACAAATCCAGTATCATATTATCTTAATGACTTAAAAATTAGGTACATTTGAAGTTATCACATGTTAAATTCCTTCATTACTATATTATAAGCAATAGTAAACTGTTATTACAGTCGCCATTAAAATACTTATTGGAAATGTAGAGATTCTAAAAGCAGAGTTGCAAAGATCTCCACTACAGAAACACATGTAGACCTTTCTATGATTGTACATGGTGTATGCACATCTTTCTTCGTAGTCACTTGGAGGTCGTTGAAGACACATTCTCTCAGTTGCTGCACCATAGTCTGTTGAAAAGTGGATGTCATATTGAATATTGAGTGATGTACTTGCATGGAATAAACAAACTAGTGGAAGTGTGACGTGGGCATTCTCTTGAAGCCACTTTTATATATGAAACTAAAGTTTGGTACAAAAGCTGTTTGATACCATTTTCACTAGGTTTATTTATTCCATGGGTACTAGCTATTTTTGTTTAGGGTACAACTGTCATATTATTTGTCATTTTTTATGGTGTTCGTAATATCTAAAATTAAGATCTTATTTTATCCTTTCCTACAAAATGTTACTATTATAAACAATATAAGACACATATATTAAGACATTTTACGATGTTACACACTCAATTCATGGTAGCCACTAATCACTGTAATGGTAGATATATAATTTCCGAACCAGTAACATAATCAATTACAAGTTAGTATAAACTAGCTTGTAACAGTTGAATGTTAGTTTGCATAGTGAAAGTACAGACAATGGCACATCAGACCACATTTTTGTTCGAAAATCGCCTCCAGTGCAATGGAACAAGATGTGTCAATGTGTAGCTTGATGTGCTGGCATGTGTACATCAAAATATTCATTACAAATTTTATACATGGCACTGTTTCAAGTTTGAAAAAAAATCATTAAAGGGCCTCATATTTTGTACCCTAGGAACTAAAGAGCAGTCTTTCATTATGTGGAAAGTCTCATTAAGTTAAGAGCAAATCAATATGTATTAATTAATACATTTTGAGTAAATAATTGCTCTGTAGTAAACAATTATCAATGGGTTGTATTTACGATTTAATTTTGATTATTATTTACTTAAAGAAGAGGTTTTTCAGTCAATATACAAAATCATCAAAAAACAAAAAATATCAAGCTACTTCCAGCACAGGCAGGCAAAAATAACTCACCATCGGTTCTGTATGCTCCAGTAGTGCCTTCAATGACCTTGGCACACCACCCGGAAGGGCAAGCTACAACATGAATTCCCACTTCAGCATCAGGCTCTGTCATGTTAAATGGGAATGGATCTCCACATGTACCCAGCTCTCCCCTCGACCTACATTTAATGCATCTTTTTTGTAGACCTGCAATTTAATTATCAAAGAATTTTGATTTCCTTAAACAATACAACATTTACTCAAAATTGGAAATGTACTTATGTATAAATACAAAAAAAACACATTTTATGTGAATACTTCCTACATAGTTTTTTATTATTTTAATGTGAATAAGCTGTATTAAACTAAGTTACACAATTCCTATCTTTTGTTACTACCAAAAGCAGTAAATATTTGCTTACGACATGGTGCAAAAATTTAATTATTTGCCACCATTATGGCAAGTTTCTAGTGACAAAAAACGGATTTTACTATTCCTAGCAACAATTGTACTAAGTTATTCATACTGTCGCAAGTACGGCACCACTCTCACTTTACCTTGAAGTCAGTATCCGTGTCATGAGTACGAAAAAATAAAACTTACATTTAACTTCCTCAAACACCAACAGCACAATCAGAGAACACAAAAAGAGACCGTTGTAGTTCATGATGATCTATTAAACTGATTGATAACATGAATCTTCCACACATATAAAAGTTTTCATTATCTTAATCTCACTCCTCATCAGCTGCACTCGTCATAGATATTAGTTAACGCAAACCAAACGATGAAACAACCAATAACAAGTTTATGTTTGCGTCACAATTTTTTTTTTAATTTTCACCTATTTGAGTAGGCAAAAACCATACAGCCTCTTCATAAAAATTTTATTTTTCATTTGCGTCACTTTTGACATTTCTACATACTAGGGATGCACATTACGATACGATTTTTATGAAAATCGATACAACTGTATACGATCCAGCGATTTCGATTAGTGTAGTCAAAACCGATATTTGTTTACAAATTTTATATGATTTGTCTCACAATAAAATAATATATAGAATGTTTAGCTACACACATAAAATCCCTAATTATTTATTATTATTAACTACACCATTTATTTCATTCATGTTACTTTTTATCCAGCAAATTCAAAGGATCAGCGAAAGAGGATCTTCTATTCCACGCGACGCAAATTCCAGTACAGTAACAGACTAAAGATATAGATAATACAAAACATAAATAAATAGAGTACCGAACGAAATCTGCAATAGATATAAAATTATTGATTATGTGAATCTAGTAACAAAAAATGCTCTTTAATAAATTACGTTTAAGATATTATAACATTCGTAATTCAGACAAATTTATTATATTGCAATAAATACAATGATACTAGGGATTTAAAAATAAAATAAAAAAAAAACATGGCATATTAACTTACCATCATTGAGCAATTTCGATTTAGAAACTACTCTTAGTGTATAATTTTGCACTTTTTTATTATCAATAAAACAGGTATAAATACCTTCTTCGTTTTTGGTGGCATGCAAAATATATAAGGAATTGTAGGAATCAATGGTAAGATGAGGTTCATCTTCTGTTTCTGCCATGTTATTTCTGTAAAGTAAATTTTAAAAACATGCTCCACATTTTTTTCTATACGATTAAATCGGTTTAGCCGAAAGAGCAGTGAAATGCGTATTCAAAATATTAATTGTTAAAATGCTTACCTAAATGACGATCCCAACAATTTATTATCTTTAAACCACTGCACATCAGAATCAGTAAATACATCAGGGCAAACAAGTGTGACGTGGCCATTTTCAGCAATTTGTTTTATGTTAGTATAAACATAGTCATTATTGTTTCCTAAAACTTTGTTCGCAGTGGGTTTATAAATTGAGGCAACACTGGGGATTTCTTTGCAATCTTGAACGGCTTTATATTGTGGTACACTTCTGACAATTTCACTTATTGATGGCAAAATTTCCCTCAACTTAATAGAATTACAAGGAACATCATAATTTTCATTTAAATAATATTCATTTTTATTTTCAATATCAGCATCATAATTCTAAATAAACAGAGTGGAAGTTTTATAATATAGAATAAAAGTAGGTACAACGCATTAATTTCTCTTAATATGAGCTTTGGATGTTACATGCATAAAAAGCAAAAGTACTTACGCTGCTTGCATTGTGGTGGAATGGGTACAAAAAACATTTTCCTATTTTACTCCGAACCATTGTTTGATTGTTATTTGCAATACATGGCCCCCAATTCTCCCATAATGTAAATAATCTAAATGAAAATTTGAAATCCTGTTTAAATTCAAAGAATGGTTCTTCGATGGACTTGTCAAACAGTTCATTGATAGGATCCAATATCGTATTTTTATATTCCTGCCATTGTGATAATGTTCCAACATAGGAAGTATTCGCCGGAAGCGTACCTGTGCATTTTAGTGTAAAGATAAAATAAACGGAAATAATAATGAAATTGAACAATTTTCATCTCACCATCTAGAACATATGTGAATATTGTGTCATTGTCTTCGGCATTTCTACTTTTACAGATATAAATTCCAGAATCATTAACTCCAAAATTTATTAATTGCAATGTGTGTTCATCGTCTATCCATATTTTGTAGTGATCAGCACCTATAGATATTTCTTTTAAATCATTTTCACCCCTTTGCTTGAAAAACCAAATTTTATCATCGAGTATAGTATTAACTTCGCTGCAAGGATAAAATAATGTCAAGTCATAAAAAAAAAACAATATTTAAATTCAGTTGCTATGTATTTCTATTATCACGGAGTTGGTAAGGTTTTTTTATGATGATAATAATTGATAGGACGAACAAGTCGTGCCCTGATGGCAAGCGACACGCCTGTTGTTGTTGCGATAACAGTTGCAGTGCCACTCAGAGTTTTAAATCACAAACATCTGAAGGAGTACTGTGAGTCACTGTGCCTGTCACATTGCGGCAAGTTCACAAGTCCCATACGCCTGTAACTTCACCAGCACCGTCAAACCCGGAACGCAGAGCAGTAAATGCTCACATTATTACTTGGCGGCAGAAATAGATAAGGTACGGTGCCTATGTGAAGCGCACTCGGTGGGTTCACTTAAGAGATATTAACATTATTAGAGGAATTTAAAAAAAATAAGCACCCGTTGTACTACACCTAAATAATTATTTTTGCAAACTTACCAAAAACCACATTTCAAATAGACAGTTAATCCTAAGGAGACGTCTATAACGTTAGCTTCATTATAACTAGTACCTAATAATAAATATTCCTCTTGACAAGCATTGATTTCCTCCAGAGCTTCAGTATTTTCGTTTTTTACGAATATCAAACATAACGCTGCTTTCAGTTGCATTGAAATCATAGTGATAAAATATCGTATTACTTTCATTTTTATGTGATGTTGGCTAAAAGTAGAATAGTAAAAATATGTTTTAATACAATTTCTTAGCCAGTTTACAAATCATATAATTGTTTGTATGTACGTGCCATTAAAAATAATTCTAATGGTAATTTACATCTACGACTATTCATTTGACAAACAAGTTTCTGGCTCGAGTCGCGGTATCGATTCTACTAAGGATTCTACGTACACCTACACATCAACTTGAGACAAAAACTAATGACGTCATAGTCTTGAACTTCATCATGTCCACAGTTGGACATAGGCATTACTAGGTCTGCAAAATGTATACAAATTTCTTTTGCTTATAATATATGTAAAAGAAATTTGTATACATTTTTTTTATCTCAAATATTATTATTTGAGATAAATCTTTGTTCATTGATAGAATGCAATAGAATCACTTATTTTATATTATTAATATCACAATAATTATTACAATTTGAAAAACAATGTCAATGGACAACACAATTGTCACTGATATAAACTATAACAGTATCTATAAGTCAAGATATTAGCACTTATGACACTATCATGTAGGTACGTAAGATTTTAGGTAGCATTGAATTTCATCCGTGTAACAGAAAGGTGTATTCCTAAAACATCGAGTATATAACCAGAAATAGAGACGAAATGTCATTTAATTTGTTTGAAAACTATTCTCCCATATCATTACTGAGAAACTGCGCTCCGATTGGCTAGCCTGAGTTCGAAACAATTGACGGATGTCGTCAACTGTTTCACTTCAAATCGACCAGTTAACTTGAGCTTTGCTATAATGGACAAAAATCGAAAAATTACACATTTCATATTTAATTACGAAATGTGAATCCGTTTGTTTTGTAATTAGATATTTTGCTGTTTTTCCCACACCACCGAATAAAATAGCCTATTGATAAATATATTATCTTTATTACAATAAACACAGAATATTATTTGGACTATACGGAGACGTACACACAGGTCAGTAGTTGGCCTATCTACATTTCAGTGCAAACGAGAGTTGATATTTAAAAGAGCTGTATCGCTAATGTGTTGTGCAAAATGTCAATTAAAAATTAGTTACTAAAAATTTAAGCTTATTGTTTAACACATCGTTGACATGCGCTGCGTTACATAATTAATAAATTTTGGATAATCACCAATAGTGGATCATTTCAATAACCTAATCTAATATGCCTTAAGTTTTTAGGCAACAGTAAAATCGGTTCTTCAACAACTCACATGTGCACACAACACTATTGATGCACCACCAACACCTTAACCAACCAGTAAAGTGTTTCCGGTAATCGACATAACTCTGAGTATTCAATTTTTAAGTTATGTAACAACCAATGTACAAATTTTTACATTAAAAAATTATATAATGATATTTAATTTGAATTGATTAACCAACTACATATCAATATTTATAAAAAGTATGAAACGTACTTAATAATAGTTTTCGTTCCGTTGCAATGATCAAATGCTGTCTATTCAGTGTCTATTTCGCTCTAAACAAAGCCATTAGACAGAGATATCGAATCCGAAATGACAAGGTAGTCCAATGAAACAAACGTTCAGTCTTGGCGCTTTCGTCTTCAAATTGAATCAAATCTAATGATATCAACATGGCGGATAAATCAGAAAGTAAGTTTTATTTACGTTTTATTTAACTTTGTGCAGCAATTTTCAGTTTAAAAGTCTACCTATTACAGAATAATTTGTACAATTGCTTACCGGTGTATAGCCGAGCGAGTCACATCTCCTACTGTGATTTCGAATGTGATGTGTTTCTCTCCATTCAAAATTTGAAAAAATTCAAATTTTGGGACGAATTGTCACTTTATTTTTGTCTAAATTTGGAATTTCATCATTGATTATCCGTTATAAGTTCTATAAATATAAACTTTGTTTAATGATGACTTTATCTTGTGCTCGATTTTGTATCAATAATATCGTTTTGTTGAATAAGATTAGAAATAAGTGGTGTTTTTTTCTTCAGGAGAGCAAGATGAAGATAGTGCTTCGCCTAGGCCTCATTACAGAGTTAAAGATGAGCCGATGGATTTGGACTTACCGGACGAAGACGAAGAACCGCCTGCGTTTGGGCCTGCTGCCCTTGGACTTCACAGAGTCGGCACACAGTTACCGCCAAAACCGACTCCTAGTGAACCAATGCAAAAACTCAATGCCAGAGGTATGCCAGCCCGGATAAGAAAAAAGAACAGATTTATATTTGTTGATGACTTTGTGAACACCTCACCACCAAGGCAATCTCCTAAACGTACTCCGAAAATCTTGGCTAAAACTCCTAACAAGCAATCAAGTGGGAAAAAACAAAAATCGCCATCAAAAGTGCAAAGAAATCTTGACAGATATGAAGAGAAAGAATCTCTTGGGAGTCAATCTCCAGATCGTAAATCGGGTCAAAGGATTGGCATGAGATTGAGAAATCTTTTAAAATTACCCAAGGCTCATAAATGGGTTTGTTTTGAATATTTCTACAGCAATATAGACAAAGCGCTTTTTGATGGAGAAAATGATTTCATGATTTGTTTGAAAGAATCTTTTCCACAATTAACTAATCGCAAACTTACTCAAGTACAGTGGGCTAAAATTCGAAGAATGATGGGTAAGCCAAGAAGATGTTCTCAAGCATTCTTTGCAGAGGAGCGCAAAGAACTGGAAAGAAAACGGAAGTTAATAAGGTATATTCAACAGCGAAAGTCTGCAGATATTTGCATCAAAGATCTTCCAAATGAGATTCCAATGCAATTGGTAGTTGGAACCAAAGTAACAGCAAGACTGCGAAAACCACAAGATGGTTTATTTACAGGTTGCATTGATGCTGTCGATACCTCTAATAATACATATAGGATCACATTTGAACGACCAAAATTGGGAACACATTCAGTTCCAGATTATGAAGTTCTCTCTAATGAGCCACCAGATACAATAAACCTGTCAAGTATAACACAAAAATTCAGACCTCGTTATGTCATGCAAGAAATATTCAACTTGTATCAGCCATCTATGCCAGCCAATAACAGTTCTCAAGGTGATCCAATGATTGGTTGCACTGATATCACTAAAAGTATGGATTCTACTGTAGGCAGTTATCCCTATCAATTTCTGGAATTGATTGTTAAATTAACAAAGATCTTGCATGCTAAAAGAGGGAAGATAAATAGATTGAAAGAGTTCAATTGCGAAGCTGAAAAAAGAAAATCTTTTGGGCAAAAGATGCCTGAAGATTTTGAAAGGAGATATGCTTCAGTTGTAATAGATTTAGAACGAATGAACATGGACTTGCAGGACTACATTAGTGAAGTACAGATGTACTGTCAACAAATAGCACCTGGGCCTAGCCTGGCTGCAATGTTAGCCCCATCACATCTTAGAGAGAAATGTCATGATGAAGCATCATTACTTGTCGCAAAGAACAATCATGGCACTGTCAAAGATTCCAACATAATAGACATCATTACTGACTTGACAGCCCTTATGTTACAAGTCAAAAGTTTGTCTGATTCAGATCAAAATGCTTATGAGCTGAGTGTTCTACAAGGTACCATGGATCAAATAAAGATGAAAATGGAACCTCAGCATCAACGGCTATTTCAGAGTAATGTAGAAATTCACATGCAAAGAATACAAATGGGTTTGGGGCAGATGTCCTCAAATAGTTATGTAGCTGGTACATAAAAGTGCTTTTGAATATTCATAAAACCCATCATTAATTTTATTATAGATGTTATGAAATGTAGGATTTGTACTAATGAACAGAATTGACAAAATAAATTTATACTATGAATGTAAATAGAAAAATTTCTTGTATTATTTTCAATTGTTTTATAATTAGTGCTAATAATTTGAGCATTATGGAGTATGAACACATGTTTTGCCTTTACATTGTATTTTAAGCTAAATCTATTTGGTAACTGGGGTACATAACACTCAGTGCTATGGTAAATATTATCGTCGCTTATTTTAAAATATTGAACATAGTCCATGGGAAAATAAAATACGAAAAATTTACTTTTTTATTTCTTGATACCTTTACATACAGGCGTCATCACTAGTCACATTGGTCTACAGAATTGTTAAAAGGGGAATACAATTCCCGTTATCGCCAGACTAGTTGTTGCGTCCGGGCTAGCACAAGGCGCGACTTGCGCGAGAGTGACATAAAGCGAGATTCTCTCTATGCGAGAATAACAGTATCTCGCGTCTAGTGAATCATCGTCATCACCCAAATAGAATTTTTAAATTGCAGAATCAACTAAATGTAGAGTAAAACAAACGCGTAACCATTACAGATTAATTGTTTTAATGAAATGATTTCAATGTTACAAATTTACATTTGGTTTTGAACAAAGTGTTGTCAAAAATTATCTCCATAATTACATACAATAAAATATTAAATATATGTTGTACCACAAACTGCACATGGGTTCTAAAGGAGGTCAAAAGCAATAAGTATGGAGTAGTTTTTAGAAATTCATTACTAATTCCAATTATAGTGCACTTTGTGGTAGATACATCCACTATAAGCTGTTTCTACCAATTAGCTGTTTTCCACAACTCCAAGTCAAGAAGTTTCAGTTTACTGTACTGTATTTGTTAATGTCTTTACAACATCCCACTATTCTTATAGAGAAAATTTTAGGATTCTAATAATACATATACCTATATTTTGGAATCCATTAGGTGACTGGATGTGACATTTTTCAAGCACTTAAATTTGTTAAGTACCTATGTATTATCACTAGAACTATAGGCAGTAATAGTCTGTTTAGAAAACAATAATTTCAAAATAGTGGGACTAGATATTAAATTACAAGTAGCTAAAAGCTACAGTATTTTTGTGTTTTATTTGTTTAGCTTCTAGATACAAGTGCCATAAGTTTATGCTTTATATTTGTTTAACGTCTCTAAGAGTTCATCAGCTTCTTCAGAAGTTTTCACTCTTATTAGCACCGTTGTTGGAGGAGGCTTGTGGTCGGGTGTAGGTATACACACCAACATAACATTATTTTTACCAAGACGCTGCATAGGAATACTTGCAGACAATATCATGTTGAGAGTTACAGTACCCAAATTTGTGTTAGCTCTGACCAGTAGCTGGTGTTTACCAGATTCTTCAATTTTTTTCACATATAGAGTGCCTACTCCTTTGTCAACAAAATTACCATCCTTCTTGATAAATACCTTGCATTTCTTATCAAATACACTGTTTTCTTCAACTACTGGTGTAAATTCTACTTTTGGTGGCTCATCGTCCTCTTGTTCTTTATCCTCATCCTTTTTCTCCACACTCTTTGTTTGTATATTAGAACTAAAACTGAATGGTTTGCCAGTTCCAAATGAAAATGGTGCTGCACCATTGACGCCTGTAGTATTGGTCGTAAATAAGAAAGGAGCTGAAGTTGTAGTTGCAGAAGAACCAGTGTTTATACCAAATGAAAATCCTCCAGATGTAGTTGTCACAGTGCTGCTACTTGTTTTGACACCAAATGGAAAGTCTGATGATGGTTTCTCAGTAGTAGTGACTGTGGCATTCTGGGTCCCAAATATAGCCACCTTTGAATTTGAAGCAGCAAAAATTGATGATCCTGAAGTACTCAAAGTTTCTGTTGTAGTTTTAGTTATATTTGTTGATGGAATTGGCTTTGTTTCAGCTGGGTTATTATCATTAATTTTAATTTTGGTTTCTTCACTTGTGCCATGAAATTCTTCTTGTATTTCTTTCAAATACTTCTCATAATCTTTAAAAATTGGTGATAGTATACAGAGAGGTGTCTCTTCTACATGTTTTTTAATCCAGTCTGAAACAGACTCATTTAGTCCTTTTAATTTAGAATAATATTTCATTTTCTTTTCATCAGTTTTTTCTTCTTTTCTCTCTGCTTCATCAGCTTTAGGAGTAGATGCGGCAGTAGATATTTGAGATGGAGTTGAAGGTGCAGTGTTTAAACCAAAAACAGACCTTGACGAAATATTGGTAGCAAAAACAGAAGATGCTTGAGGATCCGGATTGTTCTGTTTTGGGGCTTCTGTAGATCCAGTTGAAGTTGGAATTTTGAATGGACTACCTGTAGTTGACCCAAATAGTGTTGTTGTGGTGTTCGTTCCAGTGCGACCAAATAGTGACATTTGTGTAGTTGGTGTTCCAAATGTAGTCTTGGTAGATGGTGTTGTTGATATTGGTATATAAAAATGATGTCCTTCACTTTCAATAACTTTATTGCCAACTGGACATAAAGGTTGCTCAGAATCAACTTTGCCTGAGCCATTTGTAGTTTTATTGCCATTTGTCAAATTAGCCAAAAAATCAAATGATGAAGGTTGTGTCTTGTTAAAGCCTCCAAAACCACTGAAGACACTCTTCTTGGGCTGCAAAGTGGAAAAGCATGATTTAAAAATACAAGTTAGAACATGTGTCACAAAAATATTAATCATAACAAAGAAGTTAGAGATATTGATTGTTATTTCAGTTAACAATATCATTCATTGCGTCGACGTATCTTTCCGTATCCTTGTAAAAGTTACAGCACAACTTATCCATGCCAGATAAGTTGTAATACGACTTTTAGTAGTGGAAGAGATGTTTATGATGTTAACAGCTTATTATTTGTAATCGCTCTAATGAAAATTTTGTTTTTCAATTACGGAGTTATACGTAGGGTGCATCGATGTGAAAGCAATGAAAAGTAAGTTGTGTTACACTGCAACGAGGTAACAGGTTTTAGAAACTAACCTCGGCACTGGAGATTGGCGCTCGTCGTTTGGCTGTCCTGATCACACGTTTTTCCAGAACCTCATTGGATGCCGTTTGAAAGGAGCCCATTTCTTCATGTTCAGAGGGATCTTCCTTATCCCAGTTCTCATGGTTGATATCGGTGGTAGCTTGTCGTTTAACAGACATTTTCAATGTGCCACATTAGAGTATGTAGTTGTACAAAATTACAAAACAACGCGAAACCATTCGAAATACTATTGACGCTCACAATACAAAGTACTCTATCCGCTCCGCTCACCTCACTTCACTTTTTATTTTTATGGCTCCATCAATATGAGAACTGATGATTTTGCCAATGTCACAGTTGAAAGAAAAAAAAACGAAACAAAAAAAAAATTTTCGCTAAGCTCTAATAGGACAATGAACTCGCGTTGTAAGTTGTATGTGAGTTGTATTGTATTAGTAAGTTTGACAATAATTTTCTTTATGGCGTTTTAACGGCTTTGGCGTTAAGCCATTGATTTTTTCTTATTTCTGATGGCTGTTCGCGATAAACACAATACTAAAATAGAGATGGGGCAAGTGCCAGGGGCTTAACCCGGTGCTTCGGTTTAAATTGGTTTAAAACCCATTAATGCCCGAAATCGAGGGTTTAAACTGTTTACAACTAAATATTTATTGTAAATCGAGTTTTATTCAAATTTAATGATTATTATTACAACATGTTTATTGGTTTCTGGTCTAGACGGATCCATTTGCTTTTTATATTGAATCGATTCACATGAAAAATGCATTGACATAAATCGAAACCAAAAATCGTTAGGTCGTATAAACTTGAATCGATTTTAATAAAAATTCGTAGTGTGCGTCCTTAGCAGAGACACTGTATCGAAGCAAAAGTATCGATACTGTACTTATACGTAGTATCGGATAAAAAGTATCGTATGTACATGTATGTACTCATAAAAGTATTGAAACAAAAGCATCGCTACCTCAAGGCATTTTGTACTACAGATTTTCCTTACATAAAGACGGGATACGACACAAATGACTTTTATTGTTAGCTTCGAAAGTGTAACGTAATATTAATTGTTGCCATTTGAAATAATTTGTGTTACTTAAACGTGTTAAATTTCGCACTTCTCTTTTGTAACAATCACTTAAAAATGATAGTTTATCTACTCTATTTGGTGACAGTCTGTTTTTCGTTTTTAATATTGTATTGATTTTCAGAACAAACGTTCTAAAAGAACAGACATCGCCTGAATCACGAGATGCTCAGTTATAATCTTTTCCAGGTATGTCAATTCAAATGTTACTAATAATTTTTTCATTCTTATTCGTGGCATACACTATACAGATAAGTCATTTATAATGATGGTTTCCATTTTAAAAATCACTAGGTGACTCGCGCTATCATGTAAGGTATACTAAGTGGGAATTATTCGAAACGATACGATACGTTACTTCTTAAAATTAGTAATACCAGAAAACTATCGAGTAGAAAAGTATCGGTATCGAAAGGAAAAGTACTCGATAGCAAAAAGTATCGATATTTTTTCTTCACAGGATTGCAAGGTAGGTATAGTGTGGAGTTGTCTCGTTTTCGTGAAATTTTTTTTATTTGTCGAAAGTTAATAACTATGGAATATTATACCAAATTCCACATTCGCCGGCAGTTTGGGTAAAAATCCGGGCGGGTTGATTTGGTTTTAACCCACTGTACAAGAATGATATTGACATGACTTAGGTTCGTATTCCAGAACTCTACTCAATGTTCAAGTCAGGATTTGAGTATGGTTTAAAGCACTAGAAATCATACTCAAGTCCTTACCATTAGGGTCGTATTTCCAGTGCTTGAAATACTTAAGTTCTGATTTGAGCATTGAGTAGAGTTCTGTGAGCTTAGCAAGAGCCAGAAGCCAAAAGTTATCTCTTCTTCGAACTGTCAATTCTCTCGAGATTTTCGATAGAATGCTATCATGCTAAGCCTGCTGGAATTAGAGATATGGATAAATATCATTGGGATAAATACTCAGTAAAAAGGTAAATATGGATAAATATTATGGATATTTATCTATTTTTACTCGATATTTATCCAAAAACGTGGATGAATATTTTTAATCGTGGTTTATTATTTATATTTAGTAAAACAAAGTACATTTTTAAGCCTAATTGTGAACATTGATACAATGTTAACGTTAGCGTGAACCTTACTATTATTTAAATGCGTAGTTTGTTAAAAAAATTGTCTCCACACAATATTAATCAGCTGTCTAACATTTTGTATGGAATTTTTTTTTCAAATTACTAAGTTGGTCCGTTTTTGTACATTTGTTCAGCTTTGTATATAGAATAAGGGCGCTCCCTCACCGAGAACACTTGCCTGTAATGTTACATTCAAGATTCAATTCCACCAGAAATGTGCAAGGTAGCACGCACGCCTGTGCGTGGGACTGCCTCTGGGAGCCCGTGAGAGCCAGGTGTGCCCGCGAGTGCCTTTGAGTGCCTTTGAGTGCTCCCGAGTGTCTTTGAGTGCTCGCGAGTGCCTTTGAGTACCTTTGATTGCGTTTGAGTGTATTGAGTGCCCTTGGGAGTCTTTGAGTGCCTTTGAGTGTCTTCGAATGCCTTATAGTGCCCGCGAGTGCCTTTGAGTGCATTTGAGTGCCCGCGAATGCCTTCCCCTCAAAGGTACTCAAAACCACTCAAAGGCACTCAAAAGCACTTAAAGGAACTCGCGGGCACTCAAAGGCACTCAAGGGCACTCAAAGGCACTCGCGGGCACTCGCAGGCATCTAACTTAAGTAAAGACTCGAAAACATTTCCACCATATCTGGTGGAGTCGCACCCTTACAATCTGAACAGATTGTTACATTACATTACAGACAAATGCTGCCGGTGACCGAGGCTACCGAATATTACGCATCAAAAGCTCGGTTCACCTCTCTCACCGCCTGTAATGCTCGCTTTTGAACGTTACATTACAAGAGCATGTTCGCGCAGTTAGTGAGATGTTATCGACTCGAAAAACGTAGGTACTAAAACAGTATTGTTACTTAAAACAATGTCAAAATGAAGTAATCGTATGTAATTATTAAATAAAAAACGAATTCTAATTAATTTTATTATAAAAAACAAAAAAAAAAAAATTATCCATGTTTTGATGAGTATTTATCGTAATACTCAGTAAAAACGGACATTTATTGAATACTTATACTTTGACGGATATTTATCGGGTCAAAACCCATCTGTAGAAACGACCCTTAATAATGTTTGCGGATAGTTTGTTTGTCTATGATAAAATTATGTTCCCTTTTCCCCATAGAGCTATAATTTCCCTGCCAAGCAATTGCATGAAATTTAAATACTGTATATTTAAAGTCTGTTATTTTCTTTTTACTGATTTTTCTCAATTAATTATTATTTGATGGAGTCAAATATAAGTAATATAATGATATTTTTTTTGCATCATGATTTCAGTTATATGTCACGACGCGTCTTCCTCAATCTAGTCTAGGTACAGTCAAGAGCACATCAAGCTTGACACTTTGAATTTTGGACCGTTCTTATCGTAAGCGGCATAGAGTTGAATTTAAATTTTAAGTGTCAAGCTTGACGTGCTCTTGACCCTGTACTAGTCGGTCTTTACGTATAAAGTAGGTACTCTCTTTGTAGTCAGTCGAGTGCGTTGGTAGAAAGCCATAGATTACAGAAATAAATTTTTGACCAATCATCGTCGAACTTTAGGAGTATTGAAATGGATATATAATGCGATCCCTGTCTGTGCGTGGTGGTTGAAATATTTTCCTTTCTTTTTCCGAGCGTAAATTACAAATTATAATCTCAAGAAAATACATCAGTGAAAGTAAAAAATGATAGAAAATATTTTGAAAGTGTTTTAAAATTTTATAAATTATTTATTAATTTGTTTTCCTTTCATTATGTAAGTTTTGTAAGTGTATCGTTCGGTGCCTTGTCGTTTCCTACACAAAAGTGTTGGTTGTCGATTTGCAGAGTTTTTTCTTCTCAACATTCAACATATCGCACTTATTTGAAATTAACTTTTTACCTTATTGAAATCAATTATTAATGATATATTAACTGAGCTTTTGTTATTGTTTGTTAACGATGGAAGTGTCTAATGAAATTAAGGAAGACATTCGCAAAACTCAATCGGACTTGAAAAATGCAATTCGAGTTCACCAGGTGAATTATTTTGCAATTTCTACGTATAAGTTCGCATTGTATATAAATGTACGTTACTTATAATGATTGCATTGTTATTGAACGGAGTGTTTACTTATTCCAGATTTGGGTCGCGCGTCTTCAGGAAGATGAAAACGTGAGTACAAGAGTATCAAAATTCGGTTTCCTCGCAGTGTGAGTGACACTCCGGCAATGATTTAGGTATTTTAGAAAACTTTATCGTTACAGAACGTGCACTTGAAAACTAAAGTAAAAGAAGCTGAAAAGGACATTATTGTAATTGGTCAGGCTCAGGTATGTTTGTTTTTTATTTTATATTCTTTAAATCTTTGTTCTAGTTGGTCACATAGTTCTTGAAATGTTTTCTGTTATTTCGCAAAACCACACACAGCTTTATAAACATGTTGATAGTAATTTTTTATATGGTTTTTAAGTTATAATGAATTGTAATTCTCAGATTATTCTAACCTTTTTTATTTTTAGAAATTAGTGGTCGATAGGCTTCGTCGAGAGCTTGAACTGTACCAGCAGCGACTTCGAGCAAGAAATAAGCAAGTAAACATTGAAAATGATAACCGTTATGTTGCTCAGCAATTAAGGGACCATCAGATCCAATACCGTAATAGACACCGCTCTGTGTCTCTTTTAAAACCATCCGTACTTAATGAGATACATATAAAATCAGAAAATAATCATGACGATGCAAAAGATATTATTTCTGATTCAGAAAATGAGACTAAATCTTTCATTGAAAAAGAGAATTCAAATCACAGTGAAATGGATGACAAGGAGAAATATCAGAGGACCTATTCCCAAATGCCAAATTCAGTACATGGTAGTAGAAATAACTTTGCCAATGCACTTAATAAAGTCAAGGAGTCTCTCATGTAAGTACTTTAAAATCATTTGGCAACATAATCCATTGTTTGTACAATAACCTGTTTTTTAAATTTAATGTGTCAATGTGCCAGACATATTGTGGTCTCCAAATTAGGCAATTTCTTTGTACTTTGAGGACCAGCATGATAAAATTAACTAACACCTGTACAAGACCCAATTTTAAAAAATTGGGCCAAACTATTTTGGGCCACTTCAACTGTGACAAAAACTCATGTGGAAGAAACATCTGTTCCTTGAGTACTTAACTGTACCTATGTATAGGTTGTTTATATATCTTAGTAAATTTCTCCCCAATTTTTTTTCTAAAAAGGAATTTCACCAGGATGTGTTGATTGATGTATTAATACAATAATAACTACTGTCAACACCACACAACAGCTAAATCATTAAAATTTTATTTATTTAAACTTAATTACACACAAAACAACACAAATGGCGGACTTGATGCCATTAGGCATTCTCTACCAGTCAACTGGAGAGCTGGGTTCAAAATAATCAACAAAACAATCATGATAATTAATACAGATAGGAAGAAGTTTATAAATAATTATGATATATAGTATAAACACAACATAAATATAGCACATAATATTATATGACTAACTATATACTTATACAGGGTTACAGGAAAAGTCGTGCTAGATCCGTTAAGGGCGTGGAGTACTCATCATTTCTGACTTATTTTACTATGAAACACCCTACCCTAAACTTAACCCTTTTCGAGATATTTGACTTTTATTTTTTTTATTCAAAATTGCCGATTTTTAGGCTACTAAATTTAATTTTGTTTATTTTGTGTGTCTTATTATTATAATTATTGCATTTTTATATGTGTGATAAGATGCTTTAGGACCTCAATCATTAAAATAGTGAATAAGTTAATTCAATACGCCGTAGTAGAAAAGAGAAAGTTAAGAAATTAAAAAAAAAATTAGAAAGTTTATTTTTCTCTAAGGGATATTTAAAAAAAATATTATGGCAGTTGATCGGCAGATAAGTTATAAAATATCTACGTTTCATCAGCTATCTAACAAGGTATAACAATCTAGG